GCCCCCCCCCCAACCCCCCCTCCAAAAACAACAAGAGGGCATGCAAAGGACCTCATAGGGCTGTAGGAGTTCAGGATTGAAGCCCTCGAGGTTAAAGGCCCCCAGCATTCATCCTGAATAGATACCTTTAGGGTTTATAGGGTTTAGGGACCTAGAATGCAAAGTCCCACCTGTAAGTCACTCAATCCCGAAGCCCTACCGTCTCCAGTCCGAACCATAGAAACCCTTCGCCCGCATCCTAAACCGTAAACCCTACACCCCTTACCGAAATGAAGCCCCAAACTCCTTCGTAAAGAAGCCCGAAAGAACTCTACTAGTTCAACTTCAAAAGGACATCAGCCCACCAAGCTCGGAGCCTGTGCCTTGCGAGCTATAAAGATGCATCGGGCGAGGTATGAGACACCTCAGCAACGGCTTGGATCTCTTTAGCTTCGGAATTTTGGGTTGGGTCTAGGATTTCGGGTTTCGGGCTCAGGGCTCAGGGCTTGCCATGTGCGACTTTCAATTGTGAGATTCGAGGGCTCGGAGGCACCCTGAACAAGTCTAAACATCATCCTGGCCCCAAATGCAGCAGATGCCGATCGAGTGTGCGAGGAAGGCGCCCATTTGTGGGGTGGGTTTCCTTGCGGAAAGGGATGATGCTAAACACTCACAGGTCTCCATCTAGGCTGCGGAATCATGAGTGGTATGCTCTAGAGCAAAGTTTGCTATGTCCATGGGTTTCCTCCTTGTTCCGTAGGCGCCTTGCCGTTAAGAAGGCAAGCCATGATCCCTACATGCATACCGGAACCCAAGACGTTCACTGCATGCCGTTTCCCGGCTTCCTTGTCGGGCATTGTCCCGGAAAGGGCGGTAGTTTGCGGGGTATTCATCGGTATCCTGAATCAGGTAAGCCAACTCTTGCATCCAAACTCCTCTAAACCCTAAACCCCAATTTAATCAAACCCTAAGCCCTAAACCCCCAGTCAAACCCTAAACTCTAATTAAACCCTAAAGCAAACCCTTAAACACTAAACGCTTTGCACTTTTGTCCGAAGTCGGGCAAACTCGATGAAGAGGAGGACGACTCTGCATACACGGAAAGCTGTCCTGAGCTTGGGATTACGGTTTAGGGTTTTGGGAGCTTTTTTTAAATAGTTTAGGGTTCGGGGCTTTCGGGTTGTGCAGGGGGACGCGCTGATTTGCTCGGTCCTGAAGGGCTTTTTGAGGGGTACCCGCTGACACCACCACTACTAGTACTACTGCTACTGCTGATGCTACGACGACGACGACTACTACTAGTAAAAAAAATACATCATCACAAAAACAACAATAGCAATATATTTCTTATTGCTAAAAATAGCAACAGTAGTAATACTGCTTTCAATACCATAAGAACAATTGGAGTAACATAATACCACTAGTACAGAAATAGCAATACTGCCAGCGGTCGAAAAATGTCAACTTCAACGCCGAGCTGGGCAGATCATGGGATGTTTTCGGCATTTACAGGCGCGTGGTATGGGGTTTAGGGTTTATAGGGTTTAGGGGGAGTGGTATGGGGTCGCTCCTGCCACATGCATGCGGTTTGGGGTCGATTGGCACACAACCTCTTGAACTTATTCCTAGAAATCGGTTCAGGATTTAGGGTTTAGTTAGGGCTCAGGGTTCAGGAGCTAGGGTTTAGGGTTTATCGATTGCAGGACTGCGAGAGCTCCCAGACTCCTGGTCTGGTTTTAAACTCGACCTCTTAGGATTTAGATTGCTGGAGTTCCTAACCCCCCCCCCCCCCCCCCNNACCCTAAGTACCCATTATTAAGGACCATCAGGTCTCTATTGGGGGTCCTGGTTGCAAAGGGCCCCGAGCCAGAAAGCTTGTTTAGGGCTTAGGGTGTAGGGTTTAGGGGTGCCCGTGGGTGCCATCGTAGGACGCCGGGGTTGGAAGCAGCGGCGTCGGTTCGCGGCCGCGGATGCGATCTCCTGCAAAGTCCATGAAGCATTCCGATGGACTTCTACAAAGAAAGCATACACAAAGAACTCCAGCAAGACAGGTGCTAGGGGTTTCAGGTCAGGTCTTGATGCCTAGTTAAAGAGGTCGAGGCCCTGGTTTCAAAACCTGGAAGAAATCATGTGAGAGGCCAGGCTTTTAAATTTGGGGGCCATCAAAATTAGAATAGAATATTTGGGGTGTATTATACTGGAAGTAACGATATGGACTATGCAAGGGATACTATTTGTAAACTCTCCGACCCCTACTTTCCTCGGAGGCGAGGAACACCGAGCAACACCCTACACGGCCCTAAAACCTAAACCCGTTTAAACCCGGAGTTCTCGAACTAATTAAGAGACCAAAACTCCATAAACCCTAGAAGATCCCTTATAAGCCCACAAGGCCCATAAGCCTAGAAACCCTATAAGGCCCCTGAACCCTAAACTCCATTTAACGTAGGGACCTTTATAATTGGAATAGGGTTTTGGGGTACCTTATACTGTAATTATCATAAGGAATCCCCGAAATAGCATTGGTAATTCTTTAGGCCCCTCTTTGAAGCCCCCGAAAAGGCCAATCTCCGAGCGCCGCCTGCCGCAGCGCCTCGGAGTTCCAGCGCCGCAGAGGCGCGGAGGTCGGCGCGTCCGAAGGATCCTGGCTGAAGGGTTGAGGCTGAGGGGTTAGGGTTTGGGGGTTTGGGTTAGGGTTGAGGGTTTAGGGTGTAGGGTTTAGGGTATAGGGCTTGCATACAGGGTTTAGATTTTTTCGGCTGCATACACTAAGGCTCCATGTGCCTATATAGTATATGTGTCGGCCTTAAATTACCTTTATAACATAGGAACCCCTTTAAGTCCTAAGTATATACTATATAACTATATAGGCACGTGGAGCCTTAGGGATAGGGATCTGTTTTGGGGCTTAAAGGGTTTATAACACTTTATGCGGGCTCAGGGTTAATATATGCTTTTTATGGGGTTTTCTAGAGTTTGTAAGATTACATACGATTTTGTTAGGTTTACTATGGATTTGCTTGTCGAGTTCTTAAGGTTTGTGGGGGTTCGGGTCAGGGGAGGGTTCGGTTGCAGGGCTGAGGGTTTAGGCTTGCAGGGCCTTTAAGGGTTAGGTTTGGGTTAAGGCTGTACTGAGTTTACAGTGCTTTGTCGGGACTTTCAAAGTTTTGCGTTTGTTCTTGGAAGGGGGGGAGTCATAAGGTTGGTTTCAGCTTCACCCAGACTCCAGAGAGGATCTAGAAAGCAGAACCCCTAATTTGGGACCCTCTGCTGCTAAAGGGTATTTTCTAGGAACCTCCTTTAAGGGATCCAGTTTTTGTATCCTCCCGGGGTCTGCACAGGCCTATGACCGGATCCGAAGAGACCACCAAAAACCGTGAAGAGACTCCAAGAAGCCACGAAAAAACCATCGAGAAATCACCTAGGAAACCACGAAGCAACCACCAAAAGACAACAAACAACAGCCAAGAAACGACCAGGAAACCACATCCCCAAGGCATCAATTACGAGACAACCAAAAAACACGAAGAAATACCAGAAGACCAAACCCACCAAAACATCAAACCACCAAACATCATGTAGGAGATCACCCGCGGAACACACCATCAAGATACCACTGAAAAGACCACGAAGAATTGCCAGTAAACCATGAGGAGACACCAGGAAACCACCAACAAATCACTGAGGAGCTCACCAAGAGCCCAAAAAATCATCTTGTAAATTTACGCTTGAGTGGTAAATGCCTTTGCAGGGGCCAAGCTTTTTGGCTATGGCACGCGGCTGCGGCACGATGCAACACATGATCGAATTGCCGACCCTGGCATCGGAAGAAACACGTGGCAAGAATGTGAAATTTCTAATGAAGGCGAGGCAATAGCTCTCAATTAGTCCTTGGAGTCGCGGACCCAAAGTCCTGTAGCGGACCCAAGATCTAATTGAAGCTTGCAAGCGAAGTCGTTTCCGCTGCATCGTGGCATTGATGCTACTATACGTGAGAAAGACGGCAATCCCACATACCTTTGTGGGCCCTGTGGTCTTGCAAACTCCCAACCCGAAAGGATCACCTCCACCATGTTCATGCAGGTTAGCTTGGCATCGGAAACGACACGCCGCAGCAACCATATCACCGAAGCTCGAGTTGCAAAGCGGTGGCGAAGCCGCGGCACTAGTCAAATCCTGCTGACGTTCGTGTGGAGACCCAAGCCTCCTTCAGCGGACCCAAGAACAAATGAGCCCGCACGAAATAATTTCCTCAGCCTTATAGGTATCCCTATATCGTCCTGTACTAGTACCCTTATATATTGCATCCCTACTAACGTCATTTAGTCCAGGGGCTCAAAAGCATGCTTGCAAAGCATGCCGCCCGCGCTGCTTGTTGGCTAGAAGAGTTCCTTGCCGACAAATCAAAGTAGGTGACTGGGCAGGCTCTCGCGTCTCACGTAGAATGACGTTGGGAAGTGTGCATTTTCTCATTTCTCATGTTGAGGATATACCCTGAAGCCTAAACCGTGTCCCCGAAGTGTTGCAGATTCCTAAGTCAAGCCCTCCACTGCCACCTTTTCGTTTTGTACCGGACGAATTTGAAGGCTACGTGCCTGCAAGGCTGCAGAAGTAAACACTTCCCAGCACCTGAGATATGAGATACTCCGCAAAAAACTTGAGCAACAACTTTCAGTCGTTTACAGCCTGAGGCTTGGGAATATGCATTTGTACACGACATCTATGGATGGAAAAGTTTTAAGGTGTCGCCGTACTCAACTTAGGGAGACTTAGGGCATGGGCAACATCAAGCTACAAGTCTTGTGCTACACTGCAATGACCCGGAATTTCATGAGTTCAGTTGCTTGGGGATCGCTCAAGCTCTGTGTTCCCAGAGTCGGAGCTGTCGGCCGGTACGATCCAGAGCCTATATATATATATATAATATTTATTTTTTTAAAAAAAATATATATATATATATATATTGAACACCGAAGCCTGAAGGTCAAGCATCAGTTCGTGCAAGGCGCGTGCAATGCTATTCATTCCTTGTCCGCCACCTGAGAGAGCTTTATCGAATCTGTTAGCGCTGCTGGGTTGGCTGATACAGGGGAGGTTACAGGTTACCCGTTTGGCTTTCGTGAAGAAGTTCCTACCAGGCCTTTGCAGCAGCACTGCGGTACCCATCAAAAGGCCCTTTGAGAAATGGCTCCATGCGTTACAGGGGCGAGCCAAGCGTTCGAGTACGCTCAGGGTTGCTTTGATCCGTGTGCAGCACTTTCTCAATCAAACCGAGCCAAGTCTCAAATATAGAGAAAAGCCCCCACAAGCCCCTCAAAATTTCTTTGGTGCCTCTTATATGGGATCACACGTGTTGATGTCTGCTCTCAAGAACATGGGACCCGCAGTACAAAGCCCACACGCAAAGCGGCAACCCTAACTGAAGGAAATGCCAATTTGGGGTGGGCCCTAATCCCCACTCAGGGCCTCTCAAGCAGTAAGTTCCTGTGGCTTTACATAGGCTAGGTACGAATTATGCATCATGAATCCTACAAAACGTGTTGCAATCAAACCCTAAACTATGAAAACCCTGAACCTGCAACCCTCAATCGCCTCATTACTGGATTCCTAAAACCTCTTATAAACCCCTTTGACCCTACACCCCTAAAGCCTTAAACCGCTAATAACATCCTAAAACCCCTAAATTCCCTTAAACCCCTAAACCCCTTCCAAAATCTGAATCCCTCGAACCGGGCTCGCCTTACTGTCTTGCACGGTGATGGGGGGAAGCACGCCTGTCTGGGTTACGGAAACAGGAGCTTGGTTGGGTTTTGGGGTAGAGGGTTTAAGTTGAGCATCTAGGGAATCTAGGGATTAACTTCAATGTACGGCTTGCGGTTCAGGGCTTGGTCACTGCTTAAAGAATTTAAACAAATTCTAGGGCTTAGGATGGTTTGGAAACGGTTCAGGGTTGAGAAACGCACTTTAAGCTACCATAATCGACAGCCCACCTGCGAGCGGGGCCAGGTCACGGCAAAGATGCACTGATTGCGCTGGAGGCACTATGCCCTCAGCTGTCAACGTGAAAGGTTTAGGGGTGTAAAGAAGTACGCATATCGTTGTGAGGTCTATCTGGGGTAACTACCCTATGCCATGATTGCATTCTACAAGACATACAGCATAGAACCATAATGTTGGTCTTTATTTGGGCTTCTGCTCCTAGCCACTAGCCTCTATTTTGGATAGCGTTTCCTCTATGAGGGGCCTATAACCCCTATTTAAAGCTACTTGCAACTAGATACATCGATCTAAAGCTGACAGTAGCTGAGACAGGGCCTACAGACTAGAAGCCTAAGTTGGCAGCCTAAGTGAAAACATTGCCCTAGAAAGCCAAGTCGCGGGAGGACGTGCAGGGTAAGGACTCATGGGTCCAGTGTGTCCAATCACTGCCGGGATGTTGGCTGGCATGCCAGACGTGTCAAGTCCAGTTGTAAGCGGGGGGTTTCCCCCCGCTGTCTCCGGCACTGGCGCCACATCCACCACACCAACAAACATGCCGATCTCAAATGTGTTGTACACGTGCGCTGACATGCTGCCAATGCTTAAAGGTAGGGACAGGCACAGGCTCCACACGGTGCCGAAGCTGGTGGCTCTGAGAAGGGTGTAGTACTGAAGGCAAAAAGAGAGCGGAGCTTCTACTCCCTTCTCAGATCTCAGAGCATGTATAAACGCATTTGTTGGGAATCCTGCTTTGCGGGATTTAAGAAATCCCGCTAATACCTCAACTACTTGGATCTTTCCACGATAGCAATCTAGCACGATTGGCAGCACTATCATGACAGCCTGGGCGATTGCGACACTATACTTTTGTTCTAGAACCATGCGTGCTAGGCAGTTGAAGTCTGAGGCATAATCCAGGAGGAAAAATGCAAATCCCATATAGAGGCTCACTCTTTCTTTCAGAGTTGGCTTCAGTCTTTTGTGGGAAATGTCTGCCCGCAGAGTCTGCGCCTTGGCGTCCACCTGCTCAATCGCACTGGTATCTGAGGCTGCTTGGCCCAGCATGCACAGTGGGTCTTGCTGCAGAATCCTGGGTAATGCCAAACTCAGCAGAAGCCAGCCAGCCAAAGCGACGGAGGGCAGGAGCTGCAGTAGCCACATGGCAAGCCGCCAGACCTGAATTCTAAGGTCAGCGGCGTCTACGTTGTGAGTCAGCACACAGAAAGAAAGCTGCGCCAGCATGGCATTCTCAAGATGCCATGCATGTCTGATGTAATATGGATTCCGAGAGTACATCCGGACATGCGATGGGTTCCAAGCAGCCTCAAACAGCTCTCGCGGAGTTTCTGGGATGAATGCGCGGGCCTTGCATCCGGCTTGCAGCCACCCTGGCACTGAGAGCTGGCAGTGAAGGCATTGGCAGCATTGCAGTGTTTGATCAGTAAGAGGATCACAGCGCAATGTGCGAGCGAACACACCCAATTCAACATACGTCTCTTTCAAGCAAAAGTCCCCGCAGTTGCAGTCGTGCCAGCATGGGCTGTCCTCAGCCTCATACAGCTGCTTGAACAGGGATTCCGCTGCCATTTGCTCTGATGACGGTGTCGCTGCTTTGAACTGCTTATATGCACAGTAGTAGCTGTAGCCGTCGCAGCCCACATTCTGCAACCGTGCAGGGCAAATGTCCGGAAGGAGGTTGACGTGCGTAAACCTAGCCCAGTACACCACGCAGCAGGCGAGCTTGAGACTCCAACCGCATGCGACAAATCTTGTTGCTGATATCTGCTGGCGCAGGAGCCCAAGTCGTGACTGGTCATGCGGCCACAGCACGTATAGTGGCTCAGTCACGAGCTTCGCGGGCCCTTGATGCCTGACCATGGCCATCACCAGTAGGAGGACAAACGGAACGGCTAAGAACACTGCATTTGTTAGAGTCGCCACCTGAATGTAGCACAGCATGGAGAGCAGCTCCAGCGTGACAAGGAGCCTTAGATTCTAGATGCCCTGCTGCTCATTACTCTGGGAACGAATACTTTGGGTCCTAAAGTGTACAGATACAAAAGCTTGAATATTCGGATTCCTAGGGTTAGGGTTTCCAGATCGTCATGTCCCTGCGGCTTTGGGTGGAGTCTTCAACAAAAGATACCAAAAAAACTAATCACAACCTCAAACTTGAGCCTCAAACCAGACTAATGTTTAGGAATCCTGTCAAGAAACCGAACGCCCCCGGCTCGCAGCGGCTGCTTCTTCATCTCCTCCTGTGCTGCACGAAGACGCGCATAGAGGGCAAACTCCCTCATGGCGCCGGCTGCAACACGGGGTCCAGCTACCTCGCGTCCGGCCCTGCTAGTGCGCAATGTAAAGAGGCCTATCTTATCAGAATAAGATCTTGGGATGTACAGTATGATGATTCCCTGAGGGTAGCTGCCCGAGCTGTTCGAGCCACGGGAGGGACGGTGCCGGCCTGCTTTCCTCTCAGCTCTCAGACCCGAACCTGTAGTCGCAAACCTTAAAACCCGAAGGCTTTCCACCTACATAAACCCGAACTGCGGCACTGTATCATACGCCTTGAAGCTTTTCTCTTGAATCACAAACCCCAATGTCCTCTCATCATTCGCCAGACAGCGTGTCTTGTTGGCAACTTCACGGCTAACCCTTCAAGTGCTCTCCACATGTTCGGGTCTACAGGATTCGGGTCCTGATTTGGGTGTGCTGATCGTGAGGATCGTACTGCTTAGGGTCTGTATTGGGGTACTCGTAGAAAAACTAGCCTGTGCTTTGAAGTAACTAGCGAGAAAAAAGTTCGCATGTTTGTTCCATAATGTTTTCTTTCAGGAACAGGATCCAGAACCCAGTATTGGGGAACTCTTGTATCATCCACCTAAACCCTAAACCCCTAAACCCTAAACCCTAAACCCTAAACCCCACCGTCAAGCCGTCAAACCTTCCCACACGTCCCCAGCTCCTCTGATGCACCCATTTTCGCGCGGCTATGCCTCGCGACGAGGATGCCTCGAAGGACCAGGCAAGAACCCCCAGGGCCAATACGGTTTAGGGTTTAGGGTTTAGGGTTTAGGGTTTAGGGTTTAGGGTTCCCTGATCATCTCGATACTGTTTTAGGCTTTGCTTTATACGTGATGAGGTCTGGCTCTGCACCAAGCTCTGCATGTACAGACACAGACGTTTCAGGTTTAGCACTTCGGGCTTTAGACCCTAAATCCTCAACCCCCTCAGCTCTATGAACCCTAAACCCTGAACTCTATAGAAAAAACAGTAAACCCTACATGTCCCTAACCCCTCTCAACTCTATAAGCGCTAGACCCTGAACTCTGGACCCCGAAACCCAAGACACCCCAACCCTCAGCCTGGCAAGCCCACCAAACCCCAAAACCCCAAATACCCAAAACCCAACAAACCCTAAACAAACAAAAACACCCTGCCCCCTAAACCCTAAGAGCCCAAAGCTCTAGACCCTAAACCCCTGTAAGGATCCCTTTAGGGCTCTCAAAACACACCCTAAAGGCTGCTTTGCTCAGGGGCATTTGCGTGTTCTTTGTTGACTTATTGAGGGGCCTTATTAATCAGAACAGGGGTGCTTTCAGGGGTTCGCAGAGAATGGGTCTATCAGGGATATTTCATGTAATGAGCGTTAATTTAATATAAGGGTAGGGTATAATTTTAGAATCCCATATGGCCATATGGATCCCTCTGCTATGGGTGGCCTGGGTTCAGGGTTCAGGGTTTCTAAGGGGTCAGGTTTTTGGGTTTACGGGCCTTGATACTTAGAATGGGTCCTTTTCTGCGGGTATATACTATAACAACTCTAACTATATTTATGCAAAGAACCTACACGGCGGGCGGTAGCATTGGGATATGTTTATGTCCGTTCAAGTCACCCTAAGCCTTTGCAAAATGCTATGAAACCTTACGCAACTCTGCACAACTCGACTCAACCGCTTGCAAAAGGCTCCAATAAAGCCACCTAAGTCAGCCTTGGCGAAACTTCGGCCAAGACCCTGAATCCTAAACCCTATGAGAGCTAAGACACGAAACCTCTCTCTGCAGTGCTCACACCCGTCGTAGCAAGTCGGGTTATAGTAGGAGTTGATATCGTTTATATCCTCCATATAGGAACCCCATAGAACCCTCTAAAGGAACCCTATAGAACTCTCTAAGTGAAACCCATACAAACCTTCAAAGGAGCCCTATAGAACCCTAGGGTGTTGGGGTACACTAGACTATACGTATCATAAGGAACCACCAAAAAAGTAGTTATTTAAGTTATAAGGCCCTAATATTACTTCGGACCCTGTGGGTGTGAAGTCCATGTCTTGGCATCCGACTGCGAAGCGCCCTTTCTGCTACCGGAATCGACAGCCTTGGGGCGAGCTGCAAGGCAATATAAGGGCAATCATGAGCATAGGCTTCCTTTAAGGAGTTCGTAAAAAATGGGCCCCAAAGGGATACGATAAGGGCCACCGGGGTATATGAAACTATAGTTATAACAAGGAATTCCAAGATTCAGTAGTATAGGTTATTATGTAGGCCCTTACATTGTCTGGGATACCAAGGGTTACTATCCGTGCCATCAGAAGGCTTACTATGAAGGATATCGGAAGGCGTGTCTCTGAAGAGCGAAATCCTGAAAGGGCTGGGCCGCCGGAAGACAAAAACGACGTGGATCACGTCGACTTTAGGGTTTAGGGATTCGGGCTGAGTCTCATCATTCACCCTGAACACTGAACATCCCAGACCCTGAATCCCAAACTCAAGAACCTACATCGCGAATCCTGCATCCTCAGCCCGAAACCTCGAATGAGCCCGACACCTCGACACTCCTCGGGAGCCAGCTCAGCTACGACATCCCAGATCCCAAAGATACCATGAACCCTAACTTCAAAATCTATAACGCCTACTCATCCTACTTCCGAAACTCTAAGAACTCCTGAACCATCGACCGAACTCCCAAGCCCTTCGACTACATCCCAAGCCCCACCGTCCCCCAAAGCCGCTACAAAACCCTATCACACCCCTGTTACAAAGCCAAAGAAGGGGTTTAGGGTTTAAAATTTAGGATTTGTGTTAAAAGTGTAGTGGCCTTTTCGGTTTAAGATTTAGGGTTTAGGGTTTAGGGGTTATCGGATCTGGGGCCTTAGAAGCCCGTAAACCCTAAACCCTAAACCCTAAACCCTAAACCCTAAACCCTAAACCCTAAACCCCTGTAACTGTAGTGCGACTCTTTTATCCGAGTTGCGAGCTACTTCGGCTCCTTCCGGGGCTCCTTTCCGCACCGCGGCCATTTAGCCGGCTGTGCGCAAACCTCGTGTGTCGATTCAGTGGTTGGGGCTTAGGGTTTGGGGTCCCTGCCTCAGGACTTAGGATGTAAGGCTTACGATAAAGGCCTAAATAAATAGAAGAGGGTGTTATTGTCTACTGCACAATATTAAAAGATGGAAACACTTGGGACCAAAATGTTCCAGAACAGGCTCTGGGTTCGTGGGTACAAGCCAACATTCATCCAAGTTGCCCGTTCTCCACCGCTGCTGCCGACATCGATTCCATTGTCACAGGCTCCCGAATCAGGGGGGCTTGGGCCTTCGGAACGGCAGGTGTCAGACTATCGGAGGGTAGGGTGTTGTTCTTTCTTTCAGGGTTTCTACATGGAAATTTCGTGCTGTCGATGGAACCCAGAATTCGATTTCTCTCTGCCTCGGAGCTAGACTGATACCTGTCGGAGATGAGTTTCCCCTCTTTCCTGCATTTTCCAAACACAAGATTTCCGACAGTAGGATGCTGTATGCCCACGAGGACAGTGATCGCGAGGGCATGAAGCCAGTTAACAGCGGTCCACTAGAAGGTATGCAGAATTGTTTCATCTACGTCGTCTGCGGAAAGTGAAACGCACAGCAGCTGCATCAGGGAAACCGAAGACTGCCTGACGGTCACTTCCTAGCGGTCGGAGCATACATGTCCGCCTCGAGAGAAACACCCTGCGACCCATGTAAACGCCTCTGTCAGCCTCGGATGGTTCGGACCCTTTCGGATTTCTTAGCACATTGGGCCAATGTACAGTTGGGCTGATACCAAGAAGCGGAACAACCATGGAAGAACATATAGTAAATCATCAACCTACTCTACCGTTGCTTCACAGCACAGAAGAAACGAAGCTGACACCCAGATCCCGAATGAGCCCCCACTAAACCCTAAACCTCAAACCCAAAGGCCTATACCCTGCCCTGAACCCTAAACCCTAAACCCCAAACCCTAGCCTGCGAGATTTCCCTCTTTCGCATCTCGGTAGAAGCTTCTGCCAGGCGCTCCTACGAGAACAAGGCTTAAGGGCCGAGGGTAAGAGCCCAAGCTCCTGACTCTATCTGTCGATCTGTCGACCTATCTATCCACTATCTATCTACCGATCTACCGATCTATCGATCTATCGATCTACCTATCTATCTATCTATTTATTTATCT